TGTGCGACATAATGGATGCTCTTATTATGAACTTGTAGTCTGCATTAATCCATCTGGAATGCACCAATTACTCTGTCTTTCAATATCCACAATCACCAAAGATGCACTGAAAAGGAGTGAAAATCTAAACATCTTGATTTTTTAAAATATAAATGTGCTCAGATCAGATGTAATATGTTTTGTCTGTGAACAATGCTTATGGGAGAATCAGAAGTGGGATCCTAGTCTCTTTCCTCCTGTCTACCTCCAATGCTCCTTTCCAAAGATTATCTTATCCATGGTATAATATTACGTCCATGATTACTGGCTAGACTGCTATGCTGTTTCTTTACCTGTTGCTACTAGCCAAGCCACCATACTTGAAATATTATGACAAGAGATAGGTACAGATAATATAAAGTACATTTTATGACTGGGCATGTCCCCATGTAAGCCACCCCGAGTCCCTTCGGGGAGATGGTGGCGGGATACAAAAATAAAGTTATTATTTATTTATTCAAGTATGTATTTGTTTTCTTGACACATAGTAAATTAGACTGTCTTTGTGGCATTTGTGAAAGAGTATTATTAATCTTAAAAGGTAAAGGTTTCCTCTTGACATTAAGTCAAGTCGAATCCGATTCTGGGAGGTGGCGCTTATCTCCATTTCTAAGCTGAAGAACCGCCGTTGTCAGTAGACGCCTCCAAGGTCATATGTCTGGCATGACTGCATGGAGCGCTGTTACCTTCCTGCTGGAGCAGTACCTATTTATCTACTCACATTATCTACTCAACAACAGAGATATGGCAAAGTTGCAACAAAATCAAGTGAGTCTCCAATTGGTTGAAAAATGCTTTATAGTCCCATCTATGAATGCTAATCAGTCACTTATATTGCAGATTATTTTCTATCAGATCACACTATTATCAATGGACAGTATGAGCAATCTTTACAGACAAGAATAAACTGGTATTATATAGTGTGAGTAACCACTGCTAAACCTCGTGTAAGGCAATATGGGATTATTTGCAATGAAATGAACATAAACCTAAATTATTTCAGCATAACAAAAAAGCTGCCTCCAAAATATGAGATATACCGAAACACAGTATCCCCAGACTGAACTCCTTTAAAGGCATTATTCAGATTTCCTCTTTCTCCGTGAGTAAAGTATTATTTATTTTCTGAAATAATAATTACAGAAATTGCAGAAGTAAGAATATGCTAATTACAGCAAACTTAAAAAAATCTATTGAGGTAAAAAGAAATCAATTGTACTATAAAATGTCATTGATCCATGGCACTAAGTCTATTCTGACAATCTTTGAAATCAATAGACAGAAAGAGACATTTTTTTTAAAGGCAAAATGCAGAGTAATCTTTTTTTTCTCTACAAGATGAAAGATGATCTATTCTTCTACAATTCCACTTTTGCTTGGGTTCCTGATTTTAAATAGTGGTTCGCTCCAAATGGCACTTTTCACTTGTGTTATAACAGCATCAAATTGAGGCAGAATGGAATACAGTCAAGCATTTTTAAAGAATCATAAAAACTCACCAATCATATAATCTTTGTGATTATTCTTACATATTGAAGGAAGTTAAGCAAAATTATACATAGCAAAAGATGGAATCCTGGGGTGATTTTCTGTAGAGTTTAATTGAGTTTGAGTGCAAGGTTTAGGGTGATAGATCGATGCCTTGCATAACCACAGTATTTTCTTCCATCCAGATCAACAACTATGTGGCCATTCTATGTATCCCAACTAAGCTGTATCTGCTATTTATGTACAACCTTTTGGGACTACTCTTATTTATAAACTAGCATAACATCTGTGTGTGTTGAATGACTGGACAGTACCTGAATATGCAGATGTGAACCCGACACTGTATAGCAGCAATTACCTATTACTTTTGATCTTTGCCCAGATACATATGGATAGAAAGCTAGCTCAAGAGGGCCTTCCATTGATAGCCCAATTGAGATCTAACTAGGAGATCCAATTAACTCAACAAAAGTATTCCTTCCAGCATATGTGGACAAGCTAAACATGAAACAACAATGTGATATGGTGGCAAAAAAGCCAATGGGATTTTGGCCTGCATCAATGGGAGTATAGTGTCTAGACCCAGGGGAGTTATCCTACTCCTTTATTCTGCCTTAGTTATACCACATCTGGAATACTGTGTCCAATTCTGGGCACCACAACTGAAGGGAGATGTTGATAAGCTGGAATATGTCCAGAGGAGGGTGACTAAAATGATTAAGGGTCTGGACAACAAGCCCCATGAGGAGCAGCTTAAAGGAGCTGGGCATGTTTAGCCTTCAGAAGAGAAGGCTGAGAGGAGACATGATAGCCATGTATAAATATGTAAGAGGAAGTCATAGGGAAGAGGGAGCAAGCTTGTTTTCTGCTGAGACTAGGACACGGAACAATGGCTTCAAACTACAAGAAAGGAGATTCCATCTGAACATTAGGGAGAACTTTGTGACTGTGAGAGCTGTTCAGCAGTAGAACTTTCTGCCCCGGAGTGTGATGGAGACTCCTTCTTTGGAGGCTTTTAAACAGAGGCTGGATGGCCATCTGTCAGGGGTGCTTTGAATGCAATTTTCCTGCTTCTTGGCAGGAGGTTGGACTGGATGGCCCACGAGGTCTATTCCAACTCTGATTCTATGATATGTAAAAAACAATGGTTTTGTCACTCCACACATCTCCCCAAGATCACCATGCCTGCCGCTGAGAAAATCACTGGTGTAACATTCTCAGAAGAATTCTGTGTTATGTAACACAATCTGATGTTTAGAGAGGGCATTTGTTAAACATGACTCATGTCTTAGATAGATGGGTCAAAGCATTTTTAATGTTAGCTGCAATTACTATTAATTGCCATCTTCATCCTCTAGCAGACATAATGCAACTCCACTGTATCCTTCTGTGTGCCTCCAGTAAAAATAAAGGGCACAAGTCTCTTACTTGTAAATAAAATAGTTAAAACATCCTTCATTAACCAGTTCCTATACTAATGCTAGCAAGGGTGCTTTTTTGGTCATCACTGAGGTTCTAGAGATAATGAAGTGAAATACCTTTTGGAAAAAATCCCTTCCCTACTGTTACTGATTTCACGGGTAAAAGGTTTTAATTTCCAAGTGCAGTCTAAAAACAGATTAGAGTACTCATTAGCTCTTTCCAGAGACTGAAATCACTAAACTATTACCCTGCTCTTTGCAAGCTCTGGAGAAAGCTTTTGCCATGGTATACTTGCATACACAAATACAAGGGCAGCCATGGCTAGATACCAAAGTGTTTTCATTGTTTACAGCTATTTCACCTTTTAGTTTTACTATATTTAATCAAGTTGCATGTGGGAATCCAATCCCCACAGGTTAGTAATTAAAGTGTATAAATCTTAATTAACCCAAATTCTTCTCCAAGGTCACTGGAACTAGTCAGTGTAATCTAGGGCAAGTCCATATATATATATGTGTGTGTATCCCTTAAAACTATATATATATATATATATATATATCACCTTTTCTATAATGCTACTTATTATTTATTCTGAAATCAACAGTGTTAAGAGAGACAGGCCAGAGCAGGGTGGGTGGGCCAAGGGGGAGGGAGGAGGTTCTTCCCAAGCCCCCTCCCTGCCCTTTCTTTCCCTTTCTCTTCTTTTTTGTAGGTAGAAAGTACAAGAAAGACAAGAAAACGTTGGATCCCAAAAGGGTTGGCCTTGGTCAGGATGAAATGGTAGATGGGAAAGATCAAGTCTACCCTGTATTGCCTACTCCTGATATATACTCCTAAAATCGTAGAACTGGAAGAAGCCCCCAAGGGCCATCCAGTCCAACTCCCTGCCATGCAGGAAGGCACAATAAAAGCACTCCCAGTAGACAGGCTCTCTGAAAAAGTCTGCAGAGAAGGAGACTCTCCACACTCCGAGGCAGCCTAGGCCACTCTCCAGGAAGTTCTTTCTAATCTTTTCAGTTGAATATCTTTCTCTGCCATTTGAAACCATTGCTCCCTTGTGTCCTGGTCTCTAGAACCAGGTCAGTTTTTCCCCTCCTCCTTAATGGGACACCCTTTCAAATCTCGAAACATGGTTCTCATGTTCCCTCTCTACCTTCTCTTCTCCCAGCTAAACATCCCCCAGGAGAAAAGGAGGAAAAAGAGAAGAAACAATGGAAGGAAGGAAGAAAGGAAGAGAAGGATGAATGGATGGATGGAAGGAACAAAGAGAGAGGGAAGGAGGGAGAAGGGAAGGTAAGGAAGGAAGGGAAGGAGGAAGGAAAGTGAGAAGGAAGAAAGGGAGGAAGAGAAGGATGGAAGGAAGGGTCAAAGGGAATGGAGGGAGGAAAGATAAGGAAGGAAAGACAAAAGAGAAGGAAGGAAGGAAGGAAGGAAGGAAGGAAGGAAGGAAGGAAGGAGGAAAGGGTGGAAGGGAAGGAAGGGAGAAAGAAGGAGGTAAGGAAGGGAGGGAGGGAGGGAGGATAGGATGTTGAGAGGAGGGTCTGAGAAAAGAGCCCAAGGGGCCAGATCTGGCCCCGGGCCTGCGTTGCCCATACCTGCTTTAGAGCAAGAATTACTTTGAAATCAGATGCAAAAAAGTTAGCAAGAAACAGCACCACTTAATTAGCATGTTTTGTTTTGTGACAGTTCTGGATTTCTTCTTTTATCATGGTAACATAGCAAACTGACTCCAAAAATACTTTACTTTGCTCCAGTGATGTCAAGAGAAATTTGCTCTTCGGTGACATTGTTGAGAAAATGAGTACTAGGAATTTTACTAACCCTTGTGGGAATAATGTAATGAAGTAGATTGTGGGCACTTAAGAAAAATAAACGAAAGTATTCTAAAAAAAACCCTGTTTCAACATAGTGAAGGAATATTGCAAGAGGATGCCCCTCAATGAACTTTGTTCTTGGGCCTGAGGGGATTGGGGAAGTCCTGAAATAGTTATAAAAATACATTCCAGTCAAAGCTTACAAGAAAATGTGATCCAGATACATTAGGGAATGAGTTTGTGTGTCAATGAGTCTGAGTGCCTGCAAATCATTTAATATGCACTTAAGCTGGGTTTCCCCCCTCATTTCATTCTGCCTTATACGAATCATAATTCACAGCCTTCGCTCATACATAAACTCAATATAGTTTCTACCCCTCCTCCCTTTCCCCTGATGAGAAAATGGTTCAGGAGGCCAGCTGTTGTCTGAATCTTTATTTTTCTCATTTTCTAGCTGATGTATTCAGGAAGAAAATCCTAATCTCCCCAGAGCAAATCTTCTGTCAGGACCTGCAATTGTTAGCGTATCTATTTGCTTTCCTCACAAGTGGGGATGCCCACTTGTTTAACCCATGAAATTATATGCAAGTTGCTATTCTACAATGATGAAGGAGACTATAAATGGCTGCTTCAATATTCGAAGAAGCTGCCAAAAGAGAAAACCTTTAATATATGCAGTCACACACCAGTTGACTATTAATGTGTGGATGTTTTCAAGGCAAACTTTACGTATTTGCTTTTTTATTGTTTTATTTTGTTCTTGGAAAGGATTGCCTTTACCATGTCTGTGCTCTGTCTAAATTTTCAGGCTTTTTTTGAGCCTTGAGTCCCAGAATCAATTTCCCCATTCGTCGGAACATCAGGTATATCTGCTGAGGAGGTGTATCCAATCTCATTGTCTTATCTGAATGGCTCACTTAAATCTCCAAGGGGCTAACAATAGTAAAGTCAGAATCCTTGCTGTTGTTGCTGCTGTCATCGTCGGGACTGGAACTGAGGTTACTAGAAGAGGCTGATATGGATCCCATTAGTGGATCACAAAAGGCTAAAGAAGAGTGGTATGGGGCCTCACACTTGGTGGTCACATTCTTGCAGGTTGGCACAGTCTGCACATGCTCGGGAGTGGCATTCACATTCCTCTCTTCCTCTTTGGAAACTACAATATAGTCGTCAGCATGCCTGTTGGCCAAGCTTACAACTGGATCACTGGCAGTCTAGAGAAGGAGAAAAAAAACAATATGGGACAAAGTTGAAAAGCCGTTTATTTCTAGCATGTCTCATGCATCTACCATTTCAGCAGGCACATACCTTTACAAGCGCAGCCGCCGTTGCCTCCACCACCACTGCTCACGTCTAAAGGTACATACCCGTAAAGGTACATATAAAGGGGATCCTAGTTGGGAACTCTTTAAGCAGCGTTTCTCCTACAGATCATAAAGGATGAGTGGGTTTACAGGATGGAGGTATTCCTTCCTTAACAGAAACATGCACAGGACTAAGATTATTTGGGGGATTTCTGAGCCTCCCCATTCCCCAAACGATGCTGCTTCCCAACACAATAGCATATGCTCACTCTTTACTAGGATGTACAGTACACATTGTTTCCCTATATGGAGATTATCTCTGTGAAGGATATCAACTGTGAAGTCATTCTTGATGACTCATCCTGGGGGAAAGCATTAACAAGGTTTGATGCTAACTGCAGCATTGAAAAGGAGCTAAAATAAAATCCTCACTGCACAATTTTAAGATGTGAGAACTAAATTTACACACAATTATCTTCCCAACCAACTTTCCTATATTTCCCTACAGCTTCCTTTGCCATGGCAGAGCTTTTTTGACCCTGATATTTCCAGAGGTGAAACATCTCCCTATTCCTTCCTCTGCCAGTTCTGGTTTAGGAAAACTCGTAGTGACATGAAGCATGTTTTCCCCCATCTGCTGTTGCTACTGAATAAATGGAAAATGACAGAATTATACTTCCAGTAGCTTTGGAAGTTAACAACCTGACACCCAGTGCCATATGGCTCCTTGAAACATTTTTTCCTGATATAAATTTTCTAATGGGATGAAATTTAGTTGTATCACCCATAGAAAAAAACAACCTCCCTCCCCCAATCAAATGTTTTAATGAAACTGTATACTTCATGCCATGTGTGCCCCTTTTGTCACTAGCACACAAGAATCAAATTTGCCATTACAATTGGGAAGCAGTGGGGCAGATCTATTCATGTGTTAGGGTTAATGTACATCAGGGGTCCTCAGACTTTCTAAACACAGTCCTTCAAACTGTTGGAGGGCAGGATTATAATTTGAAAAAAAAAATGAATGAATTTCTATGGACACTGCACGTATCTTATTTGTAGTGCAAAAAACACTTAAAAACAATACAATAATTTAAATTACGAACAATTTTAACAAATATAAACGTATTAGTATTTCAATGGGAAGTGTGGGCCTGCTTTTGGCTGATGAGATAGGATTGTTGTTATTGTTGTTGTGTGCTCTCAAGTCGTTTCAGACTTAGGTTGACCCTGAGCAAGGGCCGGGTAAATGACCTTGGAGGGCTGTATCCGGCCCTTCGGCCTTAGTTTGGGGACCCCTGATGTACCTTGCAGAATTAATGCAGTTTAATTGCCATGCTACAATGCTATCCTGGGATTTAAAGTTTGGTAAGGCTCCAGCATTATTTGGTAGAGATGGCTAAAGATGTAAAACTACAACACTGCATAGAGCCATGGCAAGTAAAGTGGTGCCAAACTGTATTAATTCTACATTAGTGGTTCTCAACCTGTGGGTCCCCAGGTTTTGGCCTACAACTCTCAGAAATCCCAGTCAGTTTACCAGCTGTTAGGATTTCTGGGAGTTGAAGGCCAAACCATCTCTGGACACACAGGATGAGAACCACTGTTCTACAGTGTAGATGCACCCCAGAGACAAGTGACAAGGTGGGAAGCATCTTAAAAGACATTTCTGCTACTCTTGACTGACTGCAGATATTGGATACAGAAGTTGTACTGTACAGTTCCCCCCTTCCCCATAGCAAATGAGTTGGCAAGTTAAATATAAAGCCATGGTAATAATTGAACATCCACTAAATTCAACGTGAATTATTTCCAGCAAGTGAATTTAGGATAAAAAACTTTGATACAATGATTGATCAGCTGCCCCATAAAGCCTCAATTAATAGATGGCAAGATTTTAAAAGCTTATGCTACACTTGAAATTTCTTTCAGCATGACCTATGGACATTATTAAAATATATTTTATCTCATTAAATCTAAAAAGCTGAACTACTGCTCTCTTTCTGAAAAAGTAATTAATTAATATTCAATTGCACATACTATCCACTTAGCATTTTCTGAAATTTCATTACTAAGGATCATAGCAATCTTCCTCAGTCTCCCTGTCTTTCTCTGTCTGCCTTGCAAAAATTAAACAACACAAAAATAAAATGTGAACACACAGGGACTGTTTTCTTTTATCTGGGATACAGGATCTGTTTCAGACCAAAGACTAAACTCAATCTTAGGGAAGCTCTCAGGGCCCATGTTCCATCAGTGGGTGGGATTAGAAGCAAAAGGGCAGAACCCAGAACATCAGCATAGTTTAGTTCAAAGTGATGCTGGTGAACTATCACTGAGGTATGCATTTCAACCTCTTAGATATAATGGTATCATGGGAAACCTCAGAGGGCCATTTTGAGATCCTAGAAGTATTGGATGTAGCCCTAGGCCTGTGGTTTCTCACCCCCATTTTAGTTCAATTGTTTTCTTTTTAAAGCAAGTAATTATCACACGATTAAAATATTTGAAGTAGAAAACTTGAGGCCCTCCATACGATGATATGCTGGACCAGTGGTCACACGTAGCATAGCCAATTGTGAGAAATGATGCGAGTAATGGTCCAATATCTGTAGAACTATAAAAATGTTGCCTATCCGAGATTTAAGGGAGTACTGTTTAAATGTGTCAAATTAAACTTCTTTATACACACTAGAAGAAGAAACGGGGAAAGAAAACTTATGATACAGTATTTCAAGGCTGAATTCAGGATATCCATGCCTTATCTATGGAGAAAATCTTATGGGGATTGGTCAACCGAGATTTGATCATGCCCAAGCAGAAACAGGTCATGATTCACAGATCACATAAGCTCTTATTCTTTACTTTCCTTAGGCTTCTGGTTGCCTAGATAGTTTTTTACAGCTATCTGTATAACATTTCCTTATAATAATACTATAATTATCCCTAAGTACACTAATTTATTTTTTGTTCCTGGGATTCAGCGCCACTTCTTGTAACCCATTTATTCAGTTATGTTCTGGGGTTATAAAATGATATCAGTAGCAGCTACTCCCTGAGACAGTGGGATCATAATGTCCTGATAACAAAGGTCCTATCTTTTCTTCCTGCTGCCTCAACCTGTTGTCTCACTTCTCTTGCCTATACATAGGAAACATCAGCAGAAACAACAGCTCTCTGAGACCTATATTAGCTAACAAAACATACCATATATACCATTATCACCGTTCTTTGGGCCATTTTAACAGAAAGCCAAATCATAGTTGGGCATTATGGGCATGAACAGAAAAAAGATTTGGGTGTTCTCTCTTTCCAGTGGATGAAAAGTCAAGCAGTGCTGTTTAAACAACAGCAACAACAGAAACAACAAATAGCTTATAAGTCTTAGAGCAGTTGTTCTCAACCTGGGGTCCTCAGATGTTTTTGGCTTTCAACTCCCAGCTGGTAAACTGGCTGGGATTTCTGGGAGTTGTAGGCCAAAAACATCTGGGGACCCCAGGTTGAAAACCAGTCTTAGAGTTTTCTCAACAAGTGCTAGGTCACATCTTTTTCAGTTGGTTCAAAGATTAATGTGAAGCAGAATTGGGAGACTTTGCTATATGTGTCCAATCCAATGAAAACACTATACAAAGGCAAGACCTACCTTCCCAAGCCACGTGTATTTACTGTATTTTACCTGTTATTATAATTTACTGATTCGTGGACTTATCTACATGTAGAAACCAAAAAAACCCCTCTTAAATTTTTGATGTTTGCAAGCATTTACGAGTATAATGGCAGGGCAGCAATCAAACCAAATTCTGATACTATATTAAGCATTTATTTTTTTCAGTACTTTCAAAGAATTATGACAATGCAGAAGTACTCTGAATGTTAAGAAACAAGCAAGCAAAGTAATTTTACAAAAAACATGCATTTATGTGGCTATAATCTGTAATCACTAACTACAACTAACTACTGTGGAAATGGGGAATCTCCAGGCTGCAGAAGTTTTCCATCTGTCTGCAAGAGCTTTCTGCTATTATTTCCAACCAGGGATCACACATTAAAGAAATCATGAAGAAATGTGAGAGAAGGTGGTGGGGTGAGAATTGGCCCCCATCCACCATTAGAGGACTGTTTAAAAAAAACAACCAAACTTTTTACATCTTTACTTTTTGAAACCTTTGTTTCACTTTACTTTTTAAACTTTTATTGGTCAATTTCTGGTTTATATACAAGTGTACCTCAGTTAACAAAGTATCTGACAATCAGGAAGGCTGGTGAAAGCCAGACTTATGTTTGTTGTAGCAATTGATCTTCAATAAACACTGCAATTGAGCTAAGAAAGAATGGGATTCTACTTCTGGAGATTCTATTGAAGCTTTGTGTGCTTACATACAACAGGAAAGGTAAACAGCTGCCACCAGAATCACTTATGAAACATATAAAGAGGAAAATAGGAGAAAAAAGCGAAAAGCAAATTACTCTGTTTCTCTAGCTACCCTGGTATGTTGGAAAAGCATAGATATGTTAGCTTCAATAGCAAATTAAAAATCTAAGGAAGGTGTTGAAAGGAAAAAAAAAAGTAATCCTGGGATGCAAAATAATAATAATAATAATAATAATAATAATAATAATAATAATAATAATCTTGGAAGAAGCTTTCAAGAAGTCTGTAGAAGATCCAGAATATTTTTGTTTATTTGTGCAAGCCTTACCTCACCTAGTTTTCAATAACCATTTTTGCTGAAAATGTTTGAACTGCTCTTCCTTTTTGTGGTGTGGGACATTATCCTTATTTTTTCCATATTACTTTTTACCCTTGGTTGCTGTTAAAGAAGTAAAATCCAGGAATACATCTACTTTGTTGATTGAGGTATATCCATAATTTGATGTGTGATGTCCTACATTCTGAACTAATTAAATAATGATTATATGAAAGGTAGAGTACATAAAAGAAATACAGAGCATGTTACTACAGACAAGACTTTCAGGATGGTTAGGCCTATTAGCTCGCAGAGGAGCTAGAAAGAAGTGACCTAAACAGGAGTTGTTCAATTAGAAACAGCAAGCTCTTCTGCAGAGCATTGTAAGAGAGATTAAAACTAACACCTTTTTGGTGTAAGCCACCGCAACTGCAAATCTAATTTAAAAGATTTTGAATATTTTTAAAAAAAAGATTGCTATCACTTTAGTTGAAATTTAGCTCTGAACACCATGATAGACATCATCCTAATTAATTAAAATCAATGTTAAATGTAGTTTTTCAAGCAGATATTCTGAATTTAACAGGTACTGATATAACTGGCATTTACAACTGATTCACAACTTTGTTTAATTAGGTATTAATTAGGTATTAAACTAGGTCTATGTTCCAACACACACGGCTGTTTTCAGACAGGTTTATTATCTTTAACACATTTACTCTGTAATCAGACAGGCAGAACTCTTTGAACTGCTCGCTTTTCCTTTTACAGTAAAAGAAAAAGAAAACGACATCTTGGATTCAGGAAATCTCCCTAAGGAGATGGAGACTTCACACACATTTAAAAAGAGAATTACTTCACAGAACAGATCTTTAAACAAAAATATAATTTCTTGATATATAATATTGAGAACTCAATCATAAAATCAAGGAGTTATGGTGGTGCAATGGGTTAAATCCTTGTGCTGGCTGAACTGCTGACCCAAAGGTCGGCAGTTTGAATCCACGAGATGGGGTGAACTCCCATCTGTCAGCTCCAGCTTCCCATGCGTGGACATGAGAGAAGCCTCCCACTGGATGGTAACACATCTGGGTGTTCCCTGTGCAATGTCTCAGCAGACAGACGATTCTCTCACACTAGAAGTGACTTGCAGTTTCTCAAGTCACTTCTCACACGATAATGTTTTTAAAAAAATTCATAAAATCTAAGCATTTTTAAATCGCAAGAATAGTTTGGGAACTTCTCATGCAAGCCTTGAAATGAATGCAAATTACTCAAGAAGACAGAACGCACACAGAAATTGTACAACTTATTGCAGGCAATTAAGTAGTCTATTCTGAAGTGCAATTATCAACTTTTATTTGTATTTGATAAAAAAACTTCACTGTACACAGCGAAGGCAGACAGAATTATTTCCTTTTTTTAAAATAAAGGTCATCATCCTGATGTAAAATGAAAACACGGAGTGGAAAGGAGGAATGGTTCAAAGCACTGTGCGACAGTCATGTTAAAGAAAAACAATGGCCGACTGTCCAGAAAACAGAAAGAGTCTAGCAGTATATATAAAAAGAAAACCTTTGTCTCCAATTGTGGAGTTTGTTTCTGAAATGTACCAAATACAAAAAAAGAACAAGAAAAATGAATAATAGGCAGCAGCACATTGTTGGCTGGGAGTAGAATATTATTTACAGATCAAAAACTATCAAAATGTATTAAGTCACTTTGGTATAAAGCTTGGAAAATTTTACAGCAAAAGAATCAGCATGTTTTTTCCTCCAATTCCTGAAATTTATTCAGATTGAAACCTTTGAAAGCAAGCCCCATGATTGTGAAACCTGTCTGTTTCAGATTTCCTTCTCTCTCTCTCTCTCTCTCTCTCTCTCTCTGAATATCAGAGATGAAAAATATCTTATTGAAAAATTGAAAGCAACATAGATTCTTTATTGGCTGGCTGTTTGTTGAAAGCCAAATGCGTGTGCAATTAGAATATGATTGTTGGGTCAAAGACTAATCTGTAAAGACAAAAATAGTTTAAATAAACTATCAAAACTTTACAAGGCATATGGTGGCAATAGTATGATACATGGGACCCTACGCTACTCTGCTTGCGCAACGCGGGTCTGAATTAGGCAACATGTGCGCGAGTGAGTGCACCAAGTGAGAGATGCAGCTGCGGCAGAGTAGTTGCAATGGTAGGAAGGATAAAAAGAAGGGGGGTGGGGAAAGATGACCAATAGAAGGAAGGATAAAAGGAGGGGGGGGGGAAACACTGTTAATTACCTCACCCTTATCCTGTCCCTCCTGAGTTAAATTACTTCTCTGCTATCCTGTTGCAGCTGCGTCTCTCACTCGCTCCGCTGTCTCGCACATGTGTTCCTTTCATTAATTCTGACCAGCATTGCACAACTAGTGTAGGGTCCCAGCTATCATATGATTGCCCATATGGTTACTAAAAAAAAATTACTGAAGGGAAATGAAATTGTTTCTTTTAATTGCTTCAACAAAAATCTGAACTGATACATAGCAGTTCAAAGGTTGAAATCCACTACACATTCATTTGGTTATGAGTTGAATTGCACACCATGGGCCTTGCCTATAAAGAAATATGTCTAATAACATTACTCCATCTTTTCTTTTTGGGCCTTTAAATAAGAATTTTAGTCTCCTGGAAGGGAGAAAGCATGCACTTTACCTGCTTTACTGGAGGGATGGGCTGCTTTGTGACTGAAGGATTTTCCATGGCCTCATTTGCCACCTTATTCTGATTGTTGGAACAGTAGTGATCATCTTCTATTGTAATTTGTTCATTCTCCTCTGCTTCCAATTGACTCTGATTGAAACGTAGGGAACCTTTCAGAATATCCTTGATCTGTTAGGGAAGCAGAGGGAAAATCACATACTTCAGGTGTATTCTAACATTTGCCGCTTTAGTCAGAAATTTGGAAAAAGGAAAACACTGTCTCTGAACAAAACTATTAAGGCATGATGGAATAGTACAGAACTAGCTGTGCCCTGCCACGCGTTGCTGTGGCCTTTAGTAAGAGTTTTGAAGTCTCTGCCTGGCCTCTCTTCCTTCCTTCACTCACCCTCTTTCCCTCTTTCTCTCTCTCACACTCCTTCCTTTCCCCTCTTTCTCTCTCTCTCTGGCATCCCTCCTTCCTCCCCCTTCTTTATGCTTGTGTGTAAACTTGAGTATCTTCTGTTGGTCATGGGGGTTCAGTGTGGCATGTTTGCCCCAATTCTGTCGTTGGTGGGGTTCAAGATGCTCTTTGAGTGTTGGTGAACTCTGAATCCCAGTGACTACAACTCCCAAATGTCAAGGTCTATTTCCCTCAAACTCCATCTGTGTGGATATTTGGGCGTATTGAATGCTTTGGTCCGGATCCATCATTGTGTCTTCAAAGTCGCCCCCTCCCTTCTCCCCACCCCTTCCCTCCCTGAGTCACTCCTTCCCTCCTCCCACCCCCTCCGGAAAGACACGCCCCCTCCCTTCGCCCCACCCCTTCCCTCCCTGATTGACTCCTGGAAGAAAAGGGGTGGGGCGAAGGGAGGGGGCGTGTCTTTCCGGAGAGGGGGAGGAGGGAAGGAGTCAGGGAGGGAAGGGTGGGGAGAAGGGAGGGGGCGACTTTGAAGACACGCCCCCTCCCTTCGCCCCACCCCTTTCCTCCGTGACTCACTCCTTCCCTCCTCCCTCCCTCTCCGGTTAGACACGCCCCCTCCCTTCGCCCCACCCCTTTCCTTCCAGGAGTGTCTCAGGGAGGGAAGGGGTGGGGCGAAGGGAGGGGGCGTGTCTTTCCAGTGGGGATGCGGCGCGGCGAGGCTTGGAGGCAGCGTGGGAGGAGTAAGATGAAGGAGGGGGTGGAGGGAAGGGGGCGGGGGGAAGTTGCGTTGTTTGTGTGTGTGTGTGTGCCGTGTGTGGGGAAGTGCGGTGACGTGTTCGCGCTGGGCGGGGCGAGGGAGGGAGGGAAGTGCGTTGGCCGTTCGGCCATGTGTGCGCGCGCGCTGGGGACTTTGCGCCAGTGCGCATGCTCAGTTGTTTTGCCGTTTTTTCTGTGTGTGGTTGTGTTGTTTTGATTTCTGACTGGATTAGTTTGTACCTAGTGGGTTGTCCTTGGGGCATGGCAATTTTGGTGGAGTTTTGTGGAGGGGTTTTAGAGTTTTGCTTCCCCGTTGGACGCCAGTAGGAAATTTATAGATATAGATGAGCAAAATGACGTAGGAAATGCAAGACAGTAAAATACAGCATGGCAATCAAAAATCATTAAAGCAGTGACCCATGTCATTGTTATTGATTCAACCATTGTCAAGGACTGAATCAGTCTACCATTTCACAAAACTATAATGTAATGCAGGCAAAGGGGCATAGCTCATAGCTGATACATTCAATGCTTGTTGTTTCACATACAATGTTACTGGAATATCAGAAAGATACTAAATGCCCTCCACAGCTCTGGATGGGATAGGTTATTGTTCTGTAATGGGAAAAGAGGCTTAGTTGCGCAAAATATCCTTAGAAAGAGAATAACAGTGTCCAATATTCAAACTCAACTGAAATGAAAGTTGATTTGAGATTATACAAATCCAAGGCAACTCAAAACTGGAAAATACTATAGAGACATTAGATTAATTATCTACCCACATGCTTTGTCTCAGTTTCATTGAGTCAAATAAGTTTTTGTTCACTGAGGGCTGTGAAGTAATTTTTACAGACCAATCAGATGTGCATTGTTTAGGATAATACAACAGGGTATAACTTAGCGCAAGTACCCGAAACAGAAATATGGAGTTACAATTACCGTATATTCCGGCATATAAGACGACTGGGTGTATAAGACGACCCCCAACTTTTCCAGTTAAAATATAGAGATTAAGACGACTCCCATGCATAAGACTACACCCGCGTATAAGACGACCCCTGATTTTTGAGAAGATTTTCTTGGGTTAAAAAGTAGTCTTATACGCCAGAATATACTGTATTTGGAAACAAGGTTTTAGCACTTTGATGTAGCTCTTAAGAAATAACTTGTTATTGGTAGTGGTCTGAATGAGGGCAAACAAACTGAAACTTAATCCAGACAAGACAGAGGAACTCCTGGTTAGTCGGAAGGCAGATCAGGGAATAGGGATGCAGACTGTGGTGGATGGGGTCACATTTCTCCTAAAGACACAGATCCGCAGTTTGGGGGTCCAGGTATCTGCAGTGGCCAGGAGGGCCTTTGCACAATTAAAACTTGTGCACCAACTGTGCCCATTCCTTGAGAAGCCAGATCTGGTCATGGTGGTCAATCCCATAGTTACATGTTGTCTGGACTACTGTAAGAAATGCTAAATGGGGTTGCCTCTGAAGAGTGCTCGGAAACTTCAGCTGGTCCAAAGAGCTGCAGCTAGGTTGATAACTGGGGCTGGCTACAGGGGGCAGACAACCTCCCTGTTGTAGCAGCTCCACTGGCTGCCAGTCTGCTTCTGGACACAATTCAAAGTGCTTGCTGTGACCTTTAAAGCCCTAGATGCTTCAGGTCTGGGCTATTAGGCTGACTGCATCCCCTTGTACAAACCTGCCCGAGCCCTGAGATCTTCAGGAGATGTTCTTCTCGGCCCCACCTTCATCTCAAGCTCAGTTGGTGGGAATGAGAGAGCGGACCTTCTCCGTGGCTGCCCCTCAACTCTGGAACTTCCTGTCCAGGGAAGCCAGCATGGCCCCCTCCCTGCTGTCCTTCTGGCAGCAGGCTAAAACCTTTTTATTCAGACAGGCTTTCAATGTTTGTATATTTGTATATTTTAAATTGTGTGCTAATGCTTTTAAGTTAAGTTGCTTTAAATCCTCTTCAGGGGAGATAAAGCGGAGTAATAATAATAATAATAATAATAATAATAATAATAATTTCAGGTTGTGAGAACAGAGGCCACATCTACACTGACCATTAAATGAAGAAAGTGGTCTTGCTGTGCAGATGATTACACAGAAAATTCTGGAACCAATGTGAGGCTCATATGGTGATTACAGAAACCACAAAACACCAATGCACATTAAAGGCTTTCTTTTTGCGTACATTTGTAGGAGTTTGTTGTCTAACTGCTGGTTGGACATTGGCATAAATATTAGATAAAATATCTCCACTCTATCCACAACTATACCTGCTTCAATCCAGCCAAGGAAACCAAAACTTCATCTTCTTTATCCAAATGTTCTTGCAGGATGACTTCTTGAATATTTCCTGCAATGCCAAAACCATTATTTCATAAAAATACAAGACTCCAGATTACCAGCAGACAGAAATAAATAAATCCCTTCCATGGTGTTTTTTGAGTTTGTTAAATTGCAATTCCCTTCTGCCTTGGCAAGGATGTTTTTGACTATGAAAGGCAATATGTCCAAGTTGCAGTACAAAAAATTTGCAGGGCACTGGTAGCAGAACACCCGATACAAATCTATACACAATACAAAAGGGTTTGATTTTCAAGTATAAGATAAAACATGGGTTCTTATCTGATGCTATAACAAGTTCTGACCATGGTAGTGCTTCATGGTGACTATAGTAAAGTTATAGAACAGTGCTTCTTAAACTGTGGATCCTGACCTCAAATGGAATATCTTTAGCTCTGTGGTGGAGACTAAAAAACTGGCAATAGTAAAAGTTTTTGAACACCACCATGTGGCTATTTTAGACATTTACAGGGATCTGCTGTGCAATATTTACAGTGCACTCTACAGAGGATGCTTCAGCTGTACTTCATAAAAAGGAAAACCAGCCTTTTGGCAAGCCTTGCAAATTCTCATGTAAATATTCCTCAGCTTTAAAGAGTAGAAAAGTTGAAGAAGCCCTGGTACAGGACACCTTGCTTTGGGAATCCCTTTCTCCTAGCAATCTTTTCTTCTGGTTGGAGGTGGAGGATTAGGAGCTCTTGCCTCCTCCTCCTCTTTCTACTCCATGCTTCCTAGGCTATGTCCAGAAGGTAGTGCTGAGGACACAGGGATTGCAGAGCCCCTGCAGGTGATGTCTTTATAGCAATGCAGCTCAGCTTGAAAATGCTATGCACCACTATCACTACTTCTGCACTGGGCCCCCATTCTGACCTAGACCCTGCTGCTGCAACTGTAACATCCCTCCTACTCTGGGTGACCATCTCACATGGACCACTTCCTTGGCACCTTTTCCTTCCCACCCAGGGCCCTCCTTGATGTTGACCATGCCCTCCACCTGCAAGAGGTATACCCTTACCCTTAAGTGTTTCTGTATTGGTGGAGCCTGGGAGGATGGTGTGGGAGGCGGCAGAGAAAGATCATCCTCTTGATACAGCTGATCATCCCCTTGAACCAGTGCAGAGTGCTCATAAGCACCTAAGAAGGCGCAGTGCCTCTGCCACTTCTCAACTGGGAATCATGCCTGATCAAGTCTTGCAGGAGTGCCTGAAGCCCTTGCTCAGGGTTTGCATGGACTGCTGGTCATGCTGCTCAGTTTGTCCATTTGGGATTATTATCCCCCCCCCCCCCCGGCTGAAAGGACAGCAAGCCCAAGAAGGGCTGGAAGGCCCTTTTCTCTTACAAGCACATAGCCACCTGGATTTTTTTCCAGTCTGTCACTGATTAAATTGGGAGAAGTGTAACCCATGGATATGGTTTACACTGTTGATATTGGAGTTTATGGTTGAATAGGTGAAGACTACTGCATTTGCAATCAAGTTTCCTAACCACTCGAACTAACAGGGTAAATTGAACATATGAGTGAATGGCAAAAACTAAGGCAGACCAATTAAGTCATGTAGGCATAAAAAAGTGAACACCTGGAATTACAGCAGATGGGATATTTAAATCTAGCAATGCAGGCAACAATTTTATTGTGCTTTTTCCTGAGTTTGAGGTTTGCAATTCTATAGATAACTTTGCACCGCATATATGACAAAATGCCCATCTGGTAATATTTCTGCTTTGTTTTTTCTTCCTATCTGAGGCTTCTCATATAAAATTATAATACTTGAAATTTCAGTCTTAAAAGATAATAAAATTTTAATGAGCTACATTAAAATGTGTGGGTTGGGGGGGGGTAAGGCTCAGAATAACTTTTCTGGAACAATGAGCACTGATATCACACAAATGAATTATGAGACATATAAATTATTTGTAAGGCAAACAAAATCTGTTTCTGTGTCATAAATGGCTTTCCTGAATTTTGGCTTATGTTGTTCAAAAGCAGATAAAAGCCATGATTCTACATCAGGAAATCTGCAATTAATATACATACCTCACTATCTACCAGATGAAAGATGGCTTGGATTCCAAATAAATACCCCGCAAATAGTAATATATTTCTGTAATTTTCTTATATAGGTTAGAATTAATCACAGACACTAGCTGTAATGATGAATGGCATCAAGAATTCAGGAGTACTTCTGAGGAGAAGATGTAATTTGCAGCCCACGCTATTTGGCAAATAATAATGAAACAGGCTCTTTCAAAACCTGAGTTTTGAATCCCAAAGCACACAGGATTACATGAATTTCCAGAGGAATGGCTATGTTGGTCTGCTGAAGCAAAATCTACAGAGTCTTGTCTTTTAACAAATGCACTATGCTATAATAACATTATTTGTCTTTACTGTGCCACAACAGATTTAGATTGTTTTGTCAGGCAATGGAAAAATAAGTAGCAAAAGAAGAAAAAAAAGGAATAAAGGTATTGTTCAGAAAATGAACATCTTGTCTCACACCAAAAGCTCCAGTAGAAAAATATAGTGGCCATAAGTCCCATTGCAAATTTGCAATTAACATACATGGACGAAAGAATATGGTGCAATGTGTAAGAAAACATTGGCATTGGAAAAATCGCTATATCCAGCTGATTCTTCTAGTTAGCAGCCCAACATATTTGAAATAATATCCAATATCTTTCAATGATAAACTGGAGAGCATAAAAATGCCAAATTAGACATGAGGAATAATTATGTGCCTTCTACACCCTGTTACCTAATAATCAAATGTATCTTATTATTACTAAGTCTGAGATGTAAGCCAAAGTTTTTTCTGAGGAATAAATACAAGTCACGTGGTACAATAAGTAAGAAACCTTATTGTGAAGGACCCATAATGCTAATATATAAAACATATTGCTTTATCAGTCCTACTGTGAGAGAATCCAGCTTAGCTAGGGGTGGACAAAATGCTGATTTCAAGATGATGTCAGTTCAACTATACTAGCTAGTGCTAGTGTGGGCTGTAGTCCAACATCTTTGCCCAACACAACCTGCACTCAATAAATACAGGCTTTCTGACTGCTTACAAACCCACAACCTTAGCTTGTCCTGTCCCTAATTAGTCAAAAACAAATGAGCTATGGTTTCTGATTATGGCTTGCTGGTAGAGGCAGGGGAAGAGAGAAAACAGAACGTTTGGTTTGAAGATCATATAAGACATAAGCTGCTAACAGAAAGGCATTCCCTGTGTCCTATCACTACCACCACCACCACCACCACCACCACCACCGGTATGGTGAAGATACATAAGAGAGCCTTCTTGGTTGAGGCTCCTACACTGTAGAACTTCCTTCTGAGGAGGCTGGTTTGGCTTCCTCGCTGGCTACTTTTGTGAGTAGGATCATACTTTTTTTTATTTATTTAAATGGGTCTTTGATTTCTAACTGGGTCTGGCAGAAAGATCTTTTAATGGAGTGTACTTTATCTTAGGCTACGCAGAAACTTTGAGTGTTTTAAATATTTTAATATAATTTTCTACTTAAGGGTTTTAAAGTTGTATTATGCTTTAATTCTACACTCTAAACCACCTTGGTTCCCATACAGGAAGACTGGAAGGATATCGAATAAATGCATAATTCCATTTTAGTTGCTTCCACTTGCAGCATAAGCTGTTGGCAAGCATATGTTATTGTAAGTGATAAGATGGCCTTTCATTGGGACTTAGGCAACTCTGCTGTGTGAACCTGCCCAGTGTATAGACTTATAAGGATTTTTTTTTCATGTCAGGAGCGACTTGAGAAGCTGCAAGTCACTTCTGGTGTGAGAGAATTGGCCGTTTGCAAAGACGTTGCTCAGGGGACGCCCAAATGAATTTTTTTGGATGTTTTTATCATCCTTGTGGAAGGCTTCTCTCATGTCCCCGCATGAGGAGTTGGAGCTGATAGAGGGAGCTCATCTGCTTCTTCCTGGATTCGAACCTGTGACCTGTCGGTCTTCAGTCCTGCCGGCACAAGGGTTTAACCCACTGCGCCATCGGGGGCTCCACTTATAAAGATGAATAGAACCCTATGCCCTTTGGGATGAAATTATCTGAAGAGCTATATGATCCCATATGAGCCTGTTTGGGATTTGAGATATTTAGAGGACTGCCTTCTATTTGTCCCACAGACAGCGAGGATGGGAATGGAAGAGAGGGTTTTCCTAGCAGATGCTCCCAGGCTCTGGAACTCCCTTCCAAGAAAATCAAAACTAGTTTCGTCCATGTTTTTCTGGCAGCATGTAAATACGTTTTTGTTCCAGCAGGCTTTGGGGAACTATTTATGGGCAAATCATTTTTAATAATTATATTGCAATGCTTTTGCATTTCATTTTTAATTATATATTTCACATGGTTTTAATCATATTGTTGGTTTAATTATATTTTTGCTTTTTATATAATCCATTAATGAAATCCTTTAATTATATCTGTTTTAATTTTTGCACGTCTGTTTGTGTCTGACGTTGTTGTTTGTTGTCAATAATATAGTGGATGCGGATAAACAAAAATCTCCATGTGGATTCATTTCATGTTCCTTTTTTATTGCTTCCTGGCTTTGGTCTTGAGTTATTCCCATTGGCTAACTTCTAACTGGCATTGAGCCTTGGTTATTCTCAGACTGTCTCTCAAGCTTTGACCTGGATTTCCTCAACACTGCTTCTGTCTCGCTGAATCTTCATGTATGACCTTCATGTATGACCTTTTGACTTGGATTATTGATGCACACATCTGGGCATTTGCTACCCCTAGAATATTGTGCTGGATGGGGTTACATCCCCCCCCCCAAATCAGAGGTCTTAAAATGGTTGTTCTCCTGGATGCCAAGGTTTCAGGGGTGGCCAGGAGTGTTCTTGTCCAGTTAAAACTAGTGCACTAGCTGCATCAATTCCTGAAGATGTCAGATGTGACTATGGTAAAACATGCTGTTTCAATGTTTGTCATGCCTCCTCTTTTAAAACTGTATAGAAAATTCAGTAGGTTCAGAATACTG